GTTATTTCCTACTGTAAAGTTTGCAAAAAGGGACATACCTAAGCAGTTTGAAAGTTAGGCTGACGACATTCGTGTGTCTAAGTGAGCTTCTAAACAGTTTTTAAGTGTGTGTACGAGTACCTACCTAAATGTAAATGTCTGTCTGTGCAGGTATTCAAAATATTGGTCAAATATCGGTCAACATTTAATAAATATTTTTGATCATCGAATACAATTTAAGACTTTACTTTCTCCGTTATTATTTTTTAGTAAAATCGAGAGAAAAATAAGATTTTAGATTTTTGCGTTCCATTTCAACTAAAATAAATAAACACGGATTGAGCGACATTTTTATATGAGTTACATGTCAAGTACGAATACGAATACTGTGTGTCGAGGTAACGCCACTACAATGTAACATTTTGACAATATGAGGGTAGTTTAAAATATTTAAGCCCACCCGAACGCCACCTCACTGTGGCGTGGAGCATATGCTCCAATGTCAAAATGGCCCCGTCTGTGGCGTGGAGCATATGATCCACAAAATGTAGGTTCACATTTCGCGGCACAGCACGCTCAATTTTTATTAGATTGCATTAAGATTACTACAGTACGTTCCTGACGAACCGGGCTGTATAATGATATACGCCTTGGATACGGCCTAGAAGGAAAATAAAAAGTTATCTGTCATCAAAGTTACTCTATTTTCATTACGCACTTTGCCTACTTGCCGCCTTGAGTGAGCTACGTTGGCAGAGTTTTAATACTTGAAATTTGTATTAGATCATAGAACGGTAAATATTCTTCAATTATTTATCTATTTTGTGAGGTTTGTTAGCAATTTTCATTGAAAAAAGCTGTGATGAATGCAAAAGTACCCTAAGTATGAACGACGTCTGTTCCGATTCATTGACTTTTAAATGATCTAAATTACCACTAATCTCTAAATGTTTCTTTTATTAGTTGCAGTATTTATCATTTTAGCTAAATACGTAAACATGAGGCATATTCTGATGTAAAACGTGAGAAATATCAATAAAAGTGTGTAACGGTGTTTTGTGGATCAAATGCTCCAAGCTCACAGACACGGTTTGACATTAGTTTGACATTAGTTTGACATTAGTTTGAAGTTTTTTTTGGTGGGGTGACTAACATGGATTTCCGGTCGTCGGCTTTTTTATTATGACTTTAAATTAATTTGACTATTTATTTTATTGTATTTACGTCTACTTTTTATTTTTATTAACCATTTTGATGCGCTGTTTTATCTATGAAGCGACTTGAAAAGTGCCATTTTTTTCTTTACAGTGAGCTGTTGCTGCGTAGGAAGAATGTCGTGAGTACTTTAATTTTGTTACTTGTTGTCGGATATTTCAGCTATTTTTGTTTTTGCATTTGGTTTATATATTTTTTTTTGCGTTTGGTTCGCATATTTATGCACTACATAAAATCAAAAACGGGATTTTATAAATAAGCATGTTTTTATAATTTTTTTTTTCATGTTTTTGCACTAACAACGCACGCACGAAAAAATACCTAAAATAACCATTATTTCATGTTTTTTGAATAAAAAGAGTTTTATATACATTAAGTTCTATACAAGTAATATTTAATTTCATTTTATTCTAAAATTATAATATTTTATTAATTATTTTACATACTAGATACTTTTTAAATCAATTGATTTAAAAAAAAAATTAACTAGGGCACATGATTATATTACTTTACTAAAGTGGAGGCTCATCAAGTGACCAGCAGTGGACTGTAATAGGCTGTTTATGATCCTAATAAATTTCAAATATTATTTTTCACATCTGCCTTGCTCATCTAGTCTAACTCGGTAGACACTGGTCACTCACTAAAATGAAAAATTCGTATTGCACTGTTTTCGCTTAAATGTGCTATTGGTGTGCGGCTGTATATGACGTGGTCTTGACTTTTTTGCACTAAAACATTTATCAAATTTTTTTTAGATCTAACGAAGAAAATTTGCCCTCAACCTCAGGCCAAGGCCAAGGCCGTGGCCGTGGCCGCGGTCGCGGTCGCGGTGCCAATAGAGGCAGAGGTGCTGAGGATCCGTAAGTATCTATATCTGTAATCACTTACTATGGCCCTTTTTAGTGTTTGTTGCGTATGTGTTTTAGTAACAGGTACGAAGGTGAGCTGTATAATTATTTTGTTTTTGCAGGGAAGCACTTCTTACTGTCAGAGCCGCCCGACAAGTTTCGCAAAGACATTTTGCGAACTTGTCGGCGGCCGACAAGGACGACCTTCCCGACGCGCCTCCGCGCAAACGGCGAACTTTGTAAGTACCTACCTTTTTGATATTTTACCTTTATTTGAATGTGCTAGATCAACATGTAATTACTGATTTTTCTGTATAGAAATGCTTCTCCTGAGAGGGAGCTGCCCGAAGTAGTGGATCCACTGCAACCTACGCCGCAAGTGGATCCACTACAGCCATCAACTTCGTGGCAACCGACGCCGCCTCTACAAGTGCCGGCTGACGTCGAGTTTGGTAAATATCATATTATTATTGCGTGCCCACTGCCACTGCAGTGCGCCAAACTTGTAATATTACTAACATTTATCATTTTTATACAGTTCACAACGAGGAAAAGCGTTTTCCTTTTATAAAATCATAATAATAATTATCTATGAATGTCATAAAAAATATTATTTATAGTTTTCTTTTTATTGTAGTTTAAGATGTTGAATAAATAACATTAAAACCTTAGGTAAAAGCTGATAAAAATTTAAAAGAAGAATTTGTTTATGTTTGTTTTATATTTTTTGTCTGTGATGTTACTGTTTCTTTCAATAAATAAAAATCATAATAAATCAATGGATTTTGATTTTATTAACCTACTATATAACTTGAAAAGAGCCCGGCAAGCGAGAGGTCATGGGTTCGATTCCTGCCTAAGGAAAGAAAGACAACAGCCCGGCAAGCGAGAGGTCATGGGTTCAATGAGGGCTATCGTTTTAGCGCTCACCAGTTAGCGCCACTGTAGAGTAAGGTCCTGTCACTTGCTAGTAGCGAAGACAGTGGCACCATTGTGACCCGAGCGGGCAATCGCTAGTTCAAATTTTACACGAAGCCCCATATAATATTTTGTAGAGATTCTTATCTCTTGGTAAATCAATTGTAGCTATGCTTTAAAACACTGTTACCCATATGGTACACAATTTAGCTCTAATTTCGCTACATCCGCTTCAACAAGATCAACAAACGTAAACTTAAAACCGCTCTAAATAACTGTTGTAAAAACCAGTAATTTGATTAAAATCATATTCATCGATACTACATGGTATCGCTCACTACACATGGCTGTATAAGCTGCACTGGATTTATTACACATCAGTTATGTATTAAATTACCTACCTTGTTCCGGTTAACAAATCATCATTTAATTCAAATCTTTCAATCAGTATCTGTAAACATTACCTGTAAAATCATTGTTATCATCACAACATCACCGGACTTTCGTGATCTTTACACTTAGGTATCAAACCATTATTAACTCAAGTTCAATTTTTCATAGTGACGTAATAACCAATACGTTACTCATATAATATCACAAACATTCTAGCACAATTATTGGGTTTCAAATTGACTAAAATGCGACATTGCCAAACGAGCGCTACGGATGCGGGTAATAAGCAATACTCAATCCTAAACGCTTTACATAGAGCTTGGTTTGCTAGGGCAAACATCTACAGTGGTGCTTGTCGCGCGGCGCGCGCGCGGAGTGCGAGGGGAGGTGTCGACTGGAGTGCCCACTAGGCATGGAACATTTCATGAATAGCAGGTGAAAAATCATATGAAATGAATTTCATTAATCACACCTGCTATTTTACTTCACATAGACTGCTATAATTTCACAGTCAACGAAATCACGAATAACATGAATTTCATTCATTCATTCGAGCGAAGTTCGTGAGCGCAGCTCTGCGAAGCGACCGAGCGAGTAAGAAGGAATGATTTGATCATGTGCGTGTTAGAAAAGGACAAGAGATGTGATGACGGACGAAACTGGGCATTTTAAATATGAACTTTAAACTCAAAGGTGTAAGGTTTAGATTTCCTTGTCATGATTCGTGTGATTTCATTAGATAGCAGGCAGATGAAATGAATGATTTTCATTAGTCGCGCGGTTATTGATGTGCTGTGAAACTGTTTGTTTTTTGTTGTGCGACATAAATGAAACAGATATTGTTACATTTCATATTTTAGCTAATTAGCAATCCTTCATCATAATTCATACTTCTTTAAAAGTAGCACATTATATGAAAGAGCTACATTAAAACACTGCGAATAAAAATCATTGCCTGTGAAATTTCGCATGTGAAATCATATGAAAAAAAATCATCATTTCATAGAATGAAAATGAATGAAAAATAGCAATCATTTCCATGCCTAGTGCCCACTGCCCGGCTTCGATCTTTTCGACGGCGGGCAGCGGCGCAGGACGCACGTGTGCACCGGAGCGCGACGCGGCGCGTGCCCACGCGGCTCGCCGCTCCACACGTGGGCGTTGGTGATGCTGCTTGGTGACAGTGGTGCGAGCGGTGCTGGTGCTGTGATGAGGGACGGTGCGACGTGCAGTGGTTACACAAAACAGCTCTTCTCAGAGCTATGCAACGGCTCTTGTCAGGGCCACATTCCTGTTTCTGTGCAGAAAGTTGCTTGTGGCTTCGGCTGCAAACATTCATTGTTTCTATTCGATGACGATTTTTATTGTGGTCACTGGCGGCTACAGCGCCACTGTAGAGTAAGGTCCTGTTAATCGCCAGGGGTGCCAACTGTTAAGTATAAAAACGATAGCCCTCATTCCCGCCTTAGGCAGTTTTTATTTTAATCTGAATTTTCTAAGATGTTGCTAAGAAATAATATTTACGAATATGCAAATTTTCATGTCAGTAATAGCATTCAAAACATTTTCCCTCCGCTCCGCTCCTCTCCGCTCCGCTCCGCTCCTCTCCGCTCCGCTCCTCTCCTCTCTGCTCCGCCTTAATGGTGGAAACCGGCCCTTACTTAAAGTAAGTATTTTTAAATGATCGATTCAGATAATTCTTATGAAAAAAAAATCTAATAATAATAATAATTTATCTTTCAAAATGTTCCAACAACACACTTCTAACATCCCTTTTTAATAAAATAAAATGTCCAGAGACATTAATAATGTGTGTGTGAATAATCATCGGAAGCCGTCGGAAGGCGTTATCCATACTACCTTGACACATTTTGGCCATTTTTGTCTGATTTTGTTAGTATTTATCTCATAAATTTTCTTAGAAATCCATAGAAACCTTGCAAGATGTTATGTTCAGATTAAACCTAGGTAAATCTAGTTTCTGGAAAATGTAACTTTTACTTACGTTATCAGTTCTAAACATGCAGAAATCCATATCTTGTAACTACCGATTTGTAAGCAAAAAAAACAGACCCATTTTTGTTTATCTCTCATTTAAATTCCATTGTAATTACAAATGAACCACTTTTATCCTCGTCTAGCTGATATACTCAAGTTACTGTAAACATCTGTTTCAACTCTCTAAAGTCTTGGTTCTATCGAATAAATATTTTTATGTCGACCTCAGTTTCGATGGTACTCTGAGTACTTAGTTTTTCTATGAAAGTTTCAAACATGTTTTGTTGAAGATATTTATATGAAGAGGGTTGGTTTTTTGTATCAAATCTGTTAAAATGTGTGTTGGGGATTAAATGAAACACATAATACAGTCAAATACTCGTTTTTATTACAAAAATCCTTAAAACTAAGTTTAAATTTTCGTCACAATTATTTGGTGTAGTATACAAGCTTTATTATAACATTTCTGTTGGAAAAACTTATTAAATTAGTACCCTAAACTCATATTTAGTATTCAGTAAAAATATCAGCGCTTAATTCCTACTAGAAGCGGAGATATTAGCGTTTTTATGAACAAAGGCGTAAAAAATACCCTGTCTGTGGCGTTGGAGCATTTGCTCCGACTCCGCACATGCAATGGAGATCGCAAGATGGCGCTCTCCGGGCAAGAGGAATTACATGTATCGATTTAATCATATTAATTGATTGATTATACAGGGTGGAAAGGATAGGTGTGATCGCAATCGATTATTTCTAAACTATACAAGATATCGAAAAACTGGATCCTGAAAGTGCTTCACGAGCTCTTTCAAATAGTATCGATATTATGTTACAGAATAAACTAGCTTACTAGATGACGAAAATTTCTGCGTTCTGGTCTTATCCAGAGGTTCTCAAATAGGGGCCTGAAAATGCGGCGAAATGGTTCCAGTAAAGGATGGTACGGCAGTGTTTGCTTCGCGCTCGACTTGGCATGGCGGGGGCACTGCCGTGCCCCCAGATCTGTCTGTACCACAGATTAGAGAGTACAGTAGAGTCCCGATTATCCGGATCAATTAAAACCAGGGGTGGTCCGGATAATCGAAAATCCGGATAATCGATTTCAAAGTAAAATCAAACAATAATTAACTTTTTACAATAGAAAGGGTTTTCAATACATCATTTTAGAGTCTAAAAATCTAAATTTTAGACCATTGGTCATCCATTTCTTTTAACAATGAACCAAAAAGACGTCCGTATCATGTTACGGTGGCGGCGCCTTCGGTTTTTATGGGTCCAGATCCTGAATCGGTAATTAGAAACCATGAAGAATGAGTCCGGATAATCGGATATCCGGATAATCGAAGTCCGGATAATCGAGATTCTACTGTATGTCTAAACATCGATTAAGATCGGAAATATTTTCGCATCACTATTGTCAATTGTGACTTGTGACGTCATTTGTCACATCGTGTTTGTTGTATGAAGGTGATTGTTTGAGTGTAATTTATTTATTTTCACGGCATTTTAAATTATTTCGGAACATTAATTATTATTGGTGACTTGTTTATTCAGTTAAAAGAACATACATACCAAATAATATCAAGGATAACCGCTGAGTTAGGTGTCAACCTGTACTACTTCCGTCTTGAAAAAGAATCGTGAGTTCGTTCTTAGGGATAAGAACTTTGTGGGCTTTGTCCCGAGGAGATTATGGCTACCGTTGGAAAACGCGCCGTATCGCGCAGGCGCCGAAACGAAGGATACTGCTATGTGCAGTTGTTTCGGGACGTCTTAGGAGATAAGTTGAATGTGAAGGAGACGAAAAGGATTTTCGGGCGTTACCCGCTGCTGAAGAACGTGCTAGTTGAGTTGGTTCGCCTCACCAAATATGACTTATACGTACATGATATTGTACCTACCGGATTTTCGACATACCACGTCATGGACAATGAGGTCACACTCCTCAGTTCGTTAGTGGTTAGACACATGTTCTCCGAGGCGCTGATCGGAGGTTACGACGCTGCAGATGACCTGGCGTTGCAACGGAGTGACTACGCAAAGCGCTTGGCATCTATGGCTCAGTTGGGAAAACAGGCCCCTCAGGAAATTCTACAGAATGCCGCTGCCGTAGTGCTGCGTAAAGAGCTTTCCCAACCAGATTCCATTATGGCCCAGTTTGTGCAGGACGTGGCCAGTGAAACGACTCGCGGTAGGAAGATCTTCTTGCCCTACAGATTGCACCCCCTGGATTTGACACGAATGCAGGCGGATTACCCGGAGTATACACTGATTAACGCTAACAACAGGGCACATCCACATGCCGTCGCCGGCAACTCTCGTGTGGTGGACATGGAAGTAATGCTTGACTTGGTGAATTACCGGAAGAACGCGAGTTCGCTTTACGGCGAGGATGTGTATTTGGTGGATATTGGTGGTGACTATGTGAACCACGTTAAGAACAATAGGATGAACGTGCATAGCGACTCGCCCATTCTGACCGCACGTGATTCGGCTAGAGAAATGACCCGACGGCTGTCTTTGGGAGCGTTGGTGAAGGCAAAGAAGATGTCCGAGAAGACTTATAACAACCTTGTCGGTGCGACGGCGCCTTGCAAGCAGCGCTGCACCGACAAGGCTCAGGACTGTACTGTCACCGGGACGTATGCGATCTTGCTCCATTCTGATTATGACATTAGGCGTGAGGAGTTGGCACAGGCGTTCGATAACCATCAGACCAAAGTTGCCGTTTCTGCCGTCCACTTCGATCCGCGCGTATTCACCCAAAAATCTTTCTTGGTGGAAGCTTTGAAAGCCAGAGTTGTCATTGAAGGTGAGAGGATTCACTTTGACTTCGGTTCTCCGGTCTTCCGGACTCCGGTGACACATCGCTTATAATAGTTACACGCACGATTACGCCAATTATATGGACATAGTCACTATTAAAATTTAGTTTGTTGTTCTGAATAAAAACTATAATGTTAAAAAAAAAAAAAAAAAAAAAAAAGGATAACCTTTACTTTGTTGTGATCTTGTGGGATCTGTAGATCAGAATGGCTCAGAGGGAACGTCGCTCCAATGCTGGGAATCGCATGGCAAAGCTGTTGGACGAAGAGGAGGAAGATGATTTCTACAAAACCACGTACGGTGGCTTTCAGGAAGTAGCTGAGGATAACGATTATGTGTAAGTTCATTCAAAATTTTGGAGTGTTTTTGTACGAAATCTCATTAGGTTTCGTTCATTAGGCTCGTTTGGACTATAAAATGAAATAGAAAATGATGCTCACACAGCAGTAGGTACATTTCAACCGTACCCTCTGACCCCAGAGGAATATTGTAAAATATACTTACCTGTTTGTGAAAAAATGTTACAAATTCAGACACTATGAAAGAATTAACCTATATGAAATAAAGAAATGATTGTTATTATTTTGAATATTTAACATTTCAGTCAAGAAAAAGAAACGGAGGATGTGGTGGACTCCGATTTTGATATTGATGAAAATGACGAACCGGTGTCTGATCAGGAAACCGATGAAAAGCAGAAAAGAAAAGTTGGCACTAAGGCATACAAGGTAATTTATATTAAAATGCTAAAGAATTGTGGATTTGAGTGAACGTTCGAGTAATGCTCTGAAATATACATCACTAAAATACCACAGAATTTCTGTGGTATAATACCACAGAATTTCTGTGGTATTTATGCGATTCATACTAGCTATTCAATGAATGACATTGTCATATTCTTATTGCAATCATTAACTATTAGTAATTAAGATTGTTAATGATCCGTTAGTATTTAATGCCATTAAAAACGGCTTTGTTACATTTTTAAGGTAAATCTAGGAAAAACAGCAAAAATTACAACAAATACTTTAAGACAGTGAAGGATTTGTGTATCTACTGGATAATGTTGTTCTTGTAGGATCCCAACAGGAAGAAGAAAGTAGCAGGAGCATCAGCAGCAGTAGACAAACCAAAAAAAGTCATTGTAAAGAAACCAAAGGAACTGAAGCCAAAAGAAGAAAAGGCTGATAAACAAAAAGTATTTATACTTTTTGTTTTTCCCATTATTCTATTCTTCTTGTCTTGTCGACAACAAACCTACACAGTGTCAGCCCAAAACTTCGCCTTCATTAAATCTTCCTGCGTGCAGTTGTTTGGGCACGCAGGGCACGACATCCTGTGCTTCGTCGACTGGGGAACAAAACCTTATCATTATTCTATGAATTTGTCTTCATTGAGCTAAAACTGTTTTAGCTGTGGTTGTTAAACCTTCTTGGGGTGTTTTAATGTGAAGATCTTAGCTCAAAGTAGCAGTCATAACAGAAGAATATAGTCTCGAAAAAAAAACACTTACCTACAGCCTACAGCTTGTTTCCTTATGTTTCAGAGAGGTTTGAACAAATTGAATTGGAGAGAAAGAAGATACGTCCTACAAAGAAAACGATTACTGGTCCTATTATAAGGTGAGAATAATTTGTTTTAAGATTAATTTTTTATTTAAGTTACTGAAGATTGAATTTATTTCAGGAGGCATACTTGATTATAATTCCATAAAATGTTCATGATTATGAACATTATAACTTAGTTGATTTTGTCTGTGATCTTAAAATAAGTGTATCTTTCAGATATCATTCGTTTTCTGTACCGATTTCAAATCCAGACGATGAAAAGACAAGTTTGACGCCGATAGCAGATCTTACGCTAAGTGACATCATCAAAAGTGAAGAAGGTAAGTGTATTTTGATACTTACATTGAATTTATAAAGTTTAATGAACTTTGAAGACATTCATTATTGGCAATTTAAACTACTGGCGACTAAACTAAAGGCGCCAATGAAGGCTATCGTTTTTATAGCGATGACTTACTCTACAGTGGCGCCATCCTGGCGAGAGCAAGCAAATGCGACAATCCTCCCTACCGCTTTAGCGATCACCAGTATCTCTAGCACGAAAAACTTTCGACTTCGAATCTTTTGCGTGTTCGAATCGCCATCAAAAGATTTAGTACGAAAACTAAAACAGCGCCCTTGTGAAAGTGTCATAATGTGAACTTGGTATGAGAAATGGTTCATCATCATCATCATCATTTCAGCCACAGGACGTCCACTGCTGAACATAGGCCTCCCCCAATGCTTTCCATGTTGATCGATTGGTAGCGGCCTGCGTCCAGCGCTTCCCTGCTACCTTTACGATGTCGTCGGTCCACCTTGTAGGTGAACGTCCCACGCTGCGTTTTCCGGTACGCGGCCTCCATTCCAGAACCTTTCTGCCCCATCGGCCGTCAGTTCTGCGTACTATGTGCCCTGCCAATTGCCACTTCAGCTTGCTAATACGTCGGGCTATGTCAGCGACTTTGGTTCGTTTACGGATCTCCTCATTGAGAAATGGTTGCACGAAACTTATTTTGACAATCAAAATTGTCATTGAGTGTCGAGTTTTGTCGAATACGCAAACGATTTGAAGACGAAAGTTGTTCACGCTAGAGGTTTATGTTTATGATTTTCTTAGCCACGAACACGTGAAATTACTTTACTCTAAAGTGACCTAAGTTGGCGCCAACTGATAGCCCTTATTCGGCGCCAACTAGTAGGCGCAAATACGGATTCTGACATTTTCTATAATGAGTAATATTTATTTATTTCACAGGCTTTCTGCCAGATGAAAATGCAGACGTGTCAATGACAGATCTGAAAACTGAGACAGACGAATTCGCTAAGACTGATACCAAAATTGATGTAGAAGTTATCGGCCCGGATGATGACTTGGATGTTGAATCTTTGCCGTAAGTAATTAAAATACTTTAACAATTCTTTATATTGATTAGCGATTTGTCGGTCCTCCTTACCAAATGATCCCAATGATTTCCATGATATTGATCGGTTGGTAGCGGCCAGCATCCAACGCCTTCCTGCTACCTTTATGAGTTCGTCGGTCCACCTTGTGAGTGGACGTCCTATGCTGCGCTTTCCCATACGTGGTTTCCACTCCAGAACCTTATTTCCCTATCGGCCGTCAGTTCTGCGTACTACGTGCCCTGCTCATTGCCACTTCAGCTTGCTGATTGTGTAATGATGAGTGCAATTTATCATCATCATCATTTCAGCCATAGGACGTCCACTGCTGAACATAGGCCTCCCCCAATGCTTTCCATGTTGATCGATTGGTGGCGGCCTGCGTCCAGCAATTTATATGTGATGCCAAAATTCATAGTTATTGTATTCCATCTAAAATATTTTTGGTTCCAAAAAGCTAATAATTTATCACTGATATTTCAGTAAAGCAGAAAAGCCGGACAAACCTAAGAGCAATCAAGTGAAACACTACGAGCGAACGTTGCTATCTTTCGAGAATGACATCAAAGATAGAGCCTTCCGCTCTTGCTTCCCCAAGAGGCCGGTTAAGAGGAGGCGAGAACTGCTGTGCGCTGTCACTAAGTATGTATTAGATTATTATCTATATTTGTTTTGTCTTTATTCCACGGAAGAAAATGTACTAATGGCCAGCAGGCATTCTCTACCAGTCAACCACAGATCAAAGAGAAAAAGTAAATAAACAGATAACTTACTATAACTGCTGCATGGATACCTATGCTGCTGTCTATCTATTAACATAATATCTATTATCTTTTTCGCTTTTAGTATTTCGATTTTATGATTTGTATTTTGGACTCTTGATCCAGAGGTCCTAGGTCAATTTCCAGATGGCACACACAAGTTACATGTGAATGTAATTTTAATTAGATGTATGTGCGTTATGCAAGTTTTCGCCATCATTCCCTAATTTTTAAGTGATGAATACGGGCGTATCTTACTTAACAGGAATTTTGTTTTCATAGGGGTCACTTAAAAATTAGGGCTTGATGGTGAAAACGGGCATTAGACGCCTTAACGCCTATGGCGGCATTACGTGGGTATGGCACCAGTGATGTTACTTCAGTTTTTGTAAAGTATTGTCACAAGAATGAATTTTTAACACTATATGCCAGTATATGCGCACTTTGTTAAATAAATACCTTTATTGTATTTATTTAATGAAGTACTCAATTATTTTAATTTACTCATTACAGGAGGCCAGCCCGCTACATAGACCCGATCACCAAACTGCCGTACAGAAGCGTGGACGCGTTCAGAATCATACGGGAGGCGTATTACCAACAGCTTGAGGCTCGAGGCGACAGATCCGACCCACAAACCGCAGCCTGGTTGCAATGGAGGAGAGCTGATGCTGCGTCTACATACGTCCAGATACATATCAAGTGAAACGGAGATTATAATGGTTAGGCTAGTTCCATTGGCCCCAACGTTGGATCCATAAAGTTAATATATCTATAGTCTGGTCTGTGAGCACGTAGAATTTTGTCCAATGACCCCAAGCTACCCATCCTTATCGGTCGCGCGTAATTATATTGCTGTCGCGCTCGCACACTCACTGCGGGCGACCGTCGCACAGTCGCGACAGCGATATAATTACGCGCGAGCGATAAGGATGGGTAGCTAGGGGTCATTGGACAAAATTCTACGTGCTGACAGACCGGGCTTTAGGAATAGAGCAACAAAGAACTGAGCGAGCGAGATGTCACTAGCACTGTGTAATAAAAAGAGATGCGTGATGCCGTCGTCGTCACGTCAAACAGAACCGTTTTTTGCAAGTATTTGACAGCTCGTTAGCAATTATTGGCATGCTGAAAATGAGATATTTTCAGATTTTACGTGGTGACTGATTCAGTGATGGAGTTATTGTACAAAACAGTGAAATAATCCTGACACTATGACACACAAATGACATCCATTGTCATAAAAAAAAGGTTTCGTTTGACAGCTCGTGGTTGTTGCTCTATTCTGAAGGAATATTATCTTTATGAGCTATCGTGACATAACTGTAACTGTATAGAGCCACGCATTGGACTAGCGACGTTGGCGTTGGGGTCAACATGTGGAGCCAGCCTAAGGCCGTATACAGAAAGAAAGCTGGAAACTTATAGCGCTTATGTTCACAAAGGAAGCAAGTTAAATGGCATTTTATATGGCAGCGTCCAGCGCTGACCAGCGCGTGTTGAAACTTGTCAGCGCCGATCAGTGCTTATCGGCACGCGTTCATATATTTTCCTGCGCGGGTTACCAGCGCTGCAGCTTTCTTCTGTACACGGCCTTATAGTAAATGTAAATACGCCCATAGATGGCGTTGTTCAGATGACATCAAGTTCAATTATACCTTATGTAAGTGTAACAAGTGATATTTTGGAACAAAATTTACTACGCTTATAATGTATTGACTGAAGAGTCCTGTTTTAGTAGATATGTAGTCTAGAATCTGTATAAATATTGGTGATGCGGTTGTGTAAACTAAATATTGAGACATATAAAAAGGGACAGCATTAAATTCTTCTAATTAAATTTATTTTCGGCTTATATTTTTAGTCTCTCTGGGCTGTTTATATTAGTATCAATTAGGATTTTGGAGTGAAAGCACTTTCATTGCAATATAAAGCGATCTTTTGCATGCTACATATTATTTTTATGAACAAATGTAATGTAATAGCTTTCAGTATTGTATATTATAGACAATTTGTAAATAAACTGTAAATATCAAAACTATTTGTTTCAAGAAACATTCCTATTTTTAAAACAAAACTCAAATATAGACATTAAAGTAATTTATTTTAAAATAAATAGTTACAATAGAAACACAATAATACTTAATCATTAAGTTAGATTCAATATCTGTACAATTGTACAATAACTTAAAAATATTAAATTATTATGACCACTTATGAAGAGAAGGGACACACGATACTAATTAACTGTAGTTAACTTACTGTTAATTATTTGCAAGTTATTGCTGTTATTCTTATTATTATAAAGGATTTAATTGGTTCAATTAAAAAACTGAGTAAACCTAAAAAATCTACGAATACTGTCATCATTGCTTAGCCCGCTAAATATAATATAGGTACGGTTATTATACGTCTACTGTGAACGCAGGGTTTAACCTTAGATCTGGCACACTGTTCCTTCGTGGTCTCTTATCTAATAGTTCCTTAAACGATATAAGACCAGTAGCTTTAGCATCTAATCTAGAATGGTATTTGGACGGATCAGTTGTCGGCAAAAATGGGTATTCTGTCAAATAGGTCTGCGCATTCTTTATTTGGTTTTCCTTAGCAAAATCGTTCAGTTGAGAAACTGCGATCTCGTAAGGACTTAGTTTGTTGTCTGTGATGTTTTCCATTGACCTAAAAGCCTCGAGTACGGCTTTCTTGTGTGGTATACCCCTCAAACTGCCCTGGCGACTCAGTCTACCTTCCATGACGTCATTAAATAAATCGTCTACGTTGAATTTCTCAGATATTTTCACTAGTTTTGACGCACCAGCTTCCTCTTGCTGATCTTGTAATTGATTCCAGATTTTTGATATTTCAGACGACGGCATCGAGTGTGATTTTATATTTTTCTTCACTCTGTTCTTTGGACGACTATTTTCTAGAGATTCAGTTGATTCGGTTGATGATGATTTGTTTTTCAGTAGTTGCTCGCATTCGTTCAATTTGCGAGGTTTCTTTACTTCTCTGAGTTCTTCCAATGACTGGAAATATTCTTTTGCCATTTTGAATCGAGATTTGTAATCCTTTTGCTCTGATTCGGGGTTTCTTTTCGGTGATGACTCCGATGATTTATCAGGGCTGCTTTCTACAATCTCTAATTCTATATCAGATAGACTCAAGTGTGTCGTCTCTTTATCTTGATTTGAGATTATTTCAATGTCGATTGATTCAGGGATACTTTTGGCGTCAGTACATGCACTGCTAACGCTCTCATAGCTTATATTCCAATGTTTTCTTGAAGACAGAGATGGTGATTCAGAAATCGATTCTTCAGCTTGATTCCCTGTAGTCTCTGGTCGAATTCGTGGAACCGGTTTGTTGACAGCACCTGAGGAATTACAAATCACACATTAAATAAATATCTAGTTACACAGTTGTGATAAATGATTGTTAAAAGTATTTTTTATTACCTGAATGTGCACTGTCTTTGTTAGAATGCGAATCCGAACCCATCTTACTAATCTTCTTTGTAGACTTTGACTCAACTGAAGTCTTAGATACACTTTCGAACAGAGAAATAAAGTTTTTGACGTTGATTTTAGGCAGCTCATCACATGACTTGTATTTATCTAAACCGTCATCTTCAGCTTGGCATGTCGCTTTGTTGAAAATGTCCATTTCAGATTTACTAAACGTCTTACTACGGAGTTCAACTGATTTTTTGTATTTCTGCCGATTTTGAGTCTGCTTGGTCATATCTTTTATTGTGTTTTTTACGTAATGCTTTTCTTTTGCAGTTTCAGTGGAAGTTGTGTTTGAGAGAGTTTCGTCAAAGCTCTTATTAAAAGCATTCGATGCAATCCTGCTTCTTTTTTCTTTCAAGGAAAATGTACCTGGTTCTGCACATTGTTCTTTACCTGCATCGATCTTTTCCACTTTAGCTGCTAGAATATTTTCAATTTTATTACCTGCGATTTCCTTTATTTCTTCAACTATTCCAGAGCCCTTATCACTGTCTTTTCTTTGATAAATATTATGCAATGACTTACTTTTAGTTCGAGCCCATGGGGTCTTTTCTGTGTGTGATATGCTATGGAATAATGATATTCGACTAGATACTAAGCCACTGTCGTGACACTCATTAGTAGCACCGCTAATATCTACCGATGATTTATCTTCGGTGTTTGGTTTTCCTAAAAAAGTATCAATTTTATTCAAAATTTGTTTTCTTGAGGTACCGAAAAATCTCTTAGGACTTGTTTCAAATGCTTTGTAAACTTCTTCTGGTAGTTCCTGTTTGACAGGTAGAGTGGCTGATCTTGGCTTGTAGTCATCGGTTTTTTCCTCCAAGAGTTTTATATCATCATAACTTTGCTTGGTGTCTTGTTGTGAAATATCTTGAGTTTTAGTTTTAGGAGATTTGACTCGGAAACATGTTGTTTCTGTCTCATTCTTCTCTGTTTCCAACTTATCGTCCCAATATTTCTTCCATTTATTTACAAGTTTCTCGTCTGATCTAGTATCGTCTAAGGAAACGTATCCAATAGAAGGAATTTCATTTCTCATCTCGCTGTTTTCAGGTGATGAGTTGGGCGATAAGTGAATATCACCTGCACTCAAAAAGTTTTTAACTATTTGTTTTCCACGCCTTTTGGTCAATGAATCGTTTTGTCTCAACTGCTTAGACGACCAACGCCTTTTCTTTTGTAGCGTTGTCATTTCTTGTGATTTTGCTTCTATTTGGCGGATACGGTCATCCCAGTATTTCTTCTTTTCAAGTACAATATTAGTTCGATTTTCACCGAATTGAGTTTCATCGTTATTTCTATCATCATCGGTTGTTTCTTGGTTTTGAAGGGTCTGACTTACTGAAACCGATTCAGTGACATTTGCCTGAACCTCAGAAATCTTGCCTTCTAATTCGTTCGCATGTCTCTTCACATCTGTTATCGTTTCAGACGCAGAATCGACACCATCATTTGATTCAATAGTATAAACTACTTCCAAGCTCTGAAGTTTATTGTCCTCGTTATTTGTCGTTGTGGACTCAGTTTCGGAATTAGGGAAGTAGTCGTGATACATATCATTAAGTTCGGCAAATGCCACTGTGATCGGATCCGTCTCGCCAGGTTTAGACTGTGATGTTTCGACCCTTATATCTTTTATGCCCGATGAAAGGCTTCTGTCACTCTCTTCGATGATCGGTGTAAACATTGGTTTTCGTATTTCCCACTTGTTTGGCCTCACTTCTTCTATCTTTGTCTTACCAACATCGTCTTTTAATTCATTACATGTCTGCCAAAGTTCTCTCTCAGCTGGACCCATATTGGTAAAGTCTTCTTGTTTTAGCCCCAATGAGTCGTCACTAGGAGAAAACTTTTGTTTACTCAATGTGTCACATGCGTTATCGTTATTATTGCTATCAGGTGAACTATTATTGTCATCAATACTTACATACGCAGAATCCCATATATCTTTTTTTGGTGTGATATTATCTCTATTGCAAGACATAGCTTCGATTTGATAGGGTTCAAGTTCAGTTTTAGACTCGTTCACAATTCCTACAAACTCTGAATCCAAACTGTGAAATGTCGAGGAAGTTGCAGACTGGCTATCAATCTTGCAAATGGGTGTAAGATTATTGTGTAGGGGTGTTGAAAATTCAGAATTGGATTCTGCATTTACTGATTTTGTCTTGTCTTTTTGGCCATGAAGATCATACGTTTTTATGACAGTTATATTTTCATTATCACTGGTTATAATTAAGGAATCCATAGGAGGCGCTGGTGACGATGCTCTTATTACAGGCGGCAGCGAAACTGGCGCACCTATTATAAAGTCGGTGA